AGACAGAAGCCATTGTTTTAAATCCTTCATGAACAACTTCATCCCTCTCCCCACCAACCATCTGAAACCAAAGCAGACTTTTTGGAGGTTGATGTCATGCTTGACCCAGAGGTGTGTATGTCCCAATGATTTTCTAGTCACAACGATGATTTACACGTGGAACAGGGCAACATTTTCCTGTTCATAATTGGAACCCAATCATATATAAGTGACTCTAAGATCTTGGGATTTTGCTTTGAGTTTCCCAACTTCTGATCCATCACCTTCTAATAGCCTGTAAATAGTGTTTACAAAAGTCATCTGTATAAGTAAATGATTGTAATTCAGAACAGAAGATTCTGGTTTCTATTGAACATTTGCTCCACTTTCATTCCACCGAATCTATAAATCCCTGTCCCATACATTCCTCCCCTCTCTGCTCCTTGTTGCAGGTTCAGTGTCCACTCTTCTTCTCTCACCTCCCGCCATTAAAGCAGTGATTCAGGCCGTGGCTCAATCCTCTCACTCTCATTCTGTCAAATAATGCAGGTCACAACAGCAAATTATCTTTCATAACTTTATTATTCATTTTGAATATTTGGAAAGAGTCAGCTTTTCCCAATAGAGGGGAATGGAAAGTCCAAAGATTAATTCCTTCTCTCCAGCTGTGTTTATCAGAGTTACATTTAGACAGACTCACTCATCAGACTATCATATCTCACTAAATTACAACACAAGTTGTGCCCGAGTTACATTTACACAGACTCACTCAAACAACAATTGCACCAAGTTATACTCAAAACAAGCTTTTAATGTAACAAATTGGTCACAAGGAGTTTCACAGGAGCATTGGGACTCAATCTTGGCCAAAGAGATTGTTTATAAGGAACAATTTCAAGGAGGAGGAGAGTGAAGTAGATGGTGGAGAGATTTAAGAGGGAATCCCAGAGCTTAGTGTCATGGCAGCTGAAGGCACAGCCAAATGATGGAGAGATTAAAGTCAGGGTTGTTGCCCCAGTATGTCTGACAGCCCATGTTTAAGGCACCATATCTGAACTTTGAGACACACTTTGATCTTCTGGGGTCTCAGAGAAAATCAAGTCCCCTGTGAACACATACTGTAAAAAGTTAGGACTAGTTGAGACGTCCAGTATACTCAGTGGCAATTGACTTAAAGTGACTTAAAATCATCTGGATTTCAGTATTACAAGAAAATGATTTAGCAGAGATTAAAAGAAAAAGTCAGGAATACTGAAAAACTGAACAAAAAGAAAGGGGGTGAGCAATATACAGGTCACTCACCATTCAAAAGGTTATTAATGCTCACTGTTTCAGGGGGACTTCTTTGGGATGATCACTTCCCAATATCATCTGCCTTCCCTACACTGAATACTCTTTTGACCTTTCCTCCACATAACACACATCTAGTCAATGTCTCCTAGCCTGGATCAACAATCAGAAATGCCTAATTTTAGATTGGGGGAGGTGGAGATGTAGCTGTGATTGCTCCTTTTTTCAGAAAGGAGTGGACTTGACTGCAGAACTCGATTGTGAGTCAGCTTTGTTGAGATAAAGTTAAGACAAGACAATCGAGCTTCGAGCAAGCTACAGTGACAAAGTAAGGCTGTAATCTCCAGTTTGATTGGTCTTTGATCTTCAAGCTTTCTCTCTTTTTCTCTCTGTGGGTGTTTATCTTCTGATTCTGGTTCATCTCCTAACACGTGGCTTTTCCTCAGGAGGGTTTATTTATCTGATTTTCTGCCTCTTATCTGATTGACCCTTCTTTGTGCAGATGCAATTTGTGATCATGTTGACACTACTTAATCAGATTTTTTTATTCACTTGTGGGATGTGGGTGCTGCTGGCTGGCTAGCATTTATTGCCTACCCTAGTTGCCCTTGACAAAGTAATGGTGAGCTACCTTCTTGAACTGCTGTAGTCCGTGTGCTGTAGGTAGACTCACAAGGCTATTGTGATGGGCGTTCCAGGAATTACCCAATAACAAAAAGGGGAGATACACATCGCACAGAACAGATGAGTGATTTGCTTTCAACATTATTCTGTGATCCTTTTATTGCAAGGCTGCTACATATCTGTTGTCATTTATTTCATTGACATCCCTGTTTTAGCTTACACAGCAGCTTTTACCTTGAAGCTCTAGTACATTTTTTTGAAACTTGACCAACGGCCAGGATCCTGTGCTATCTCTCCCACACTGTTTCCAAAGTTTACCTGCATTATTATAGTCAGGTGAGTTTCTAATGAATTGAGATGTTAGCATCTAATAATCAGATTAAATTATTTTAGTAGTAGCCCAAAAACCTTGGGACCTTGGCACCTCTACCAATGGGGGAAAGTGATGAAAGTGCAGATACTGATGTCTTCAGAATTATTTCTAAATTATTCTTTCATGCGTTGCAGTATCTGCTGGCCATCCCATAAATGCCCCTGGGTTGGCTGGTTTGTGAGGTCATTTTAGAATGGCTCTGGGGTCATGTGTAGTCCAGACTACATAAGGATGGCAGATTTCTTTTCCACTGAAAGACATCAGTGAACTTGATGGTTTCTATGGCAATTGTAGTTACCTGATTTGTTGTAAAAACAATCAATTATAGTTCCCATAGTCACCATCACTGAGACTGCATAAATCTGAGATTGAAAGCTATTGAATTTAACTTCCAGCAGCTGGGATTGGTGAAATTTGATGTCTTGTCTCCAGAACTTTATCCTGGGTCTGAGTAAACTAGTCCAGTGACATTATTGCTGCACCACTATGGTTTGCCTGTCTTTTCTGCCTGTTTAACTTATCTATCATATCCAAACTGCTGCTCACTAATAAAATGCTTTGGAATCACCTCTGACTTCAACCCTGTTTTTTGGTATCTATGAATCCTGGACAAAATCTCAACTTCCACCATTCATCATTAATCATCCAGACCCTGAAGACAGTTGTAACAGAGCTTCTGTGTCCTGGAGCTCAACAATGGAACAGAGTAGGTCAAAAACATTTCTTACACACACCAGGACTAACCGACACATTCAATTCGGGATATAAAATTGACAGCAGCGATAAGCAGTAGAATCCAACCCAACCAGTCACTCATGAATTGGCTGGTGCTGTAGCAGGTTGGAAAACTGAGTGAATACCATCCCACACATTGAGCAAGTGAATGGCCTCTCCCCTGTGTGGACACGCTGGTGTTTCAGCAAGTTGCAAAACTGGGTGAATCCCTTCCCACACATACAGCAGGTAAATGGCCGCTCTCCAGTGTGAACTCGCCTGTGTCTCAGAAGATCATTGCTGCTTTTAAACGTCTCTTCACAGTCAGAACATTTAAAAGGTTTTACGTTAGAGTGAATACGTTGATGTTTCAATAGGTTGTATGACTGAGCGAATCCCTTTCCACATTTGGGACAGGTGAACGGTCTCTCCCCGGTGTGAGTTCGCTGGTGAACAGTGAGTTCAGATGATCGCCTAAATCCAGTCCCACAGTGAGAGCACCTGAATGGTCTCTCGTCAGTGTGAACACGTTGATGGCACGTCACTTCCCCAGAACTTTTAAAGCACTTCCCACAGTCTGGGCATTTAAATGGTCTCTTGTCAGTGTGAACTCGTTGGTGTTTCTGCAGGTTTGATGAAGCAGTGAATCTCTTCCCACATGCAGAACAGCTGAAAGGCTTCTCCCCACTGTGAATGAGTTGATGTCTCAGCAGATACTTCTTGCTTTTAAATTTCTTCTCACAGTGAGAACATTTAAAAGGTCTTTGCTCAGTGTGAACATACTGATGTGTCAGCAGACTGGAAGACTGAGTGAATCCCTTCCCACATGTAGAGCAGGTGAATGGTCTCTCTCCAGTGTGAGTCCGTCGATGAATTTCAAGCTCAGATGGGTAACTGAATCCCTTTCCACAGTCTACACATTTCCATGGTTTCTCAATGCTGTGGGTATTCTTGGGTTTCTCCAGGTTGAAGCCTTGTCAACAGATACACACTGCACTGTGAAAGGTGCAATGTTTGTTCAGGCTGTTTAACTGGTTAAAGCTACTTCCACAGTAATTCACTGGAGCACTGTCACTTTAGTGTGTGTCTTGGTGCTTTTCCAATCGGACTGATGTTTGAAATCCTTTTGACAAATAGAACAGACAAGCATTTCGCCTTCCACATTCAAAGGGTGATAATATTCATGTCCTGATAAATAAAGGGACTCTGTCAAATCTTGACACGATTTTTGATTTGAGTTGTCCATCTGATAATTCTCCACTTGTAATGTCCTAGGAAAGGAGTTCAGAAAGCCCAATGACTGAACTACAAGACAGAAATATAGAATAGAAGAATTTGCTTTCTATGGAGCACTCTCTGCTACAGTAGTAAAGCTTTCCATGCTGGAATTCAATCCCAAGTGTCATCTGTATTGTTTCGCTTGGACTCCAGCTATTCACAATATAAATTAATGATTTGGGTGAGGGAATTAAATATCTCCAAGTTTTCAGACAATGTAAAGCTGTGTGGGAGGGTGAACTGTGAGGAGGAAGCAGAGATTATTCAGTGAGATTTGGACCAAGTTGAGTGAATGCGCAAATGCATGGCGGATGAAGGGTAATGTGACAGTAATGAGGTTATCCACTTTATCACCAAAAACAGGAAAGCTGACTATTACTTGAATGGCAATTGATTGGGAACAGGAAAGGTACAACAAGACCTGGCTGTCCTTCAACACCAGTCACTGAAAGTAAGCATGCAGGTACAGCAAGTGGTTATAACAAAAGCCTTTGACTAAAGGAGCAGAGATATGTTGCTGCAACATACAGGGCCTTGGTGAGACCACATCTGGAGTATTGTGTGCAGTTCTGGTCTCCTTATCTGAGGAAGGATGTTCTGGTTATGCAGGGAGTGTAATAAGGAATTACCAAAAACAGGAGTAGCTCGAGAAACTCAGCAGGTCTGGCAGTATCTATGCAGAGAAAGCAAAGTTAATGTTTCAAGTGTAGTGACCCTGCTTCAGAACTCAAAACTTACCAACCTGATTCCTGGAATAGCAGAACTGACAAGAGACAGATGAAACGAGACTGGGTTGTTTAGGACTATATTCACTGGAATTTAGAAGAATGAAGTTCTTATTGAAACCTATAAATTTTAACAGGATAAACACAGGAAAGATGTTTTCAATGACCAGGGAGTCCAGAACCAGGGGTCACAGTCTGAGTATATGAGGTAGGTTGTTTAGGACTGAAATGAGGAAAAACTTCTTAACTCACAGTGCTAAGCCTATAGAATTCTCTGCCACAGAAAGTGGTTGAAGCCAAAATGTTGAATGCTTTCAAGCAGACATATAGTTCTTAGAGCTTAAAGGAGTCAAAAGTTATGGGGATAAAGTGGGAACGGGGAACAGAGTTGGACGATCATATTGAACAGTGGAGTAGGCTATTGTTCTTAATTCCAATGCTTCTAATTCAATCCCGTGTGTCATCTTTACACTTTTCTTCCACCACTCTTTTCCCCCGTCCGTCCGTCCGTCCCTCCCTCTTTCTCTCTGCACTCTGGCCAGGTTGACTTCTGTAGCCCCGGTCTGCAAGTGAGAATAAAATCACTGAGTCGATCACTTTCCTTCCGGGCCACAGGAACATTGAAGTACCGCCGACCCTCACCAAGATGGCCACCCAGTCGCCCTCAGCTATGAACGAGCCTAACCGTCCCCTCACCAAGATGGCGACCAGGTGCTGGGGTAACCAGCCTCCCGCCCTTGGGAGGGAGCCCGCATCCCTGATTCGTCCTGACTCCCACTCACAAAATGGCGATCAACAAGCCGCCCGTTCCATCCCAGGGCCTGTCCCCACTAACCCGCACCGCGGAGTAAACTCGAAACCTATGAGCTCTTATTCGGAGCCCCAAGCCTCCACCAAAACGTTGAAAATGTTGCCAGGCCCCAGGGCCACGATTTCCATTCTTACCCTGTCTCTCGATCTCCTACCAGCACCCGAAGCTTCCGTTCCTCCTTGGGGTGTCCCCATAAATGACACTAGGCATGCTCGGATCACAACTCGCTGCTGCTCCTGCGCGTTGAACTCCAGTACTCACTGATAGGGGGCTTTCTGCAGCGCGGTGTATTCTGGGTCGGAAAACCGCCATGTAGTCCAATTCTTGAAGAAGTTTAATATAGTTCCCAAAAAGCAGAATAGGGGTTCCATCGATGGATTTTGCATCAAACAGTAAACAGTGCAGGCTTTGGGCATTTCAGTAAACATGATCCTACCGCAGAACCACAGTAATCAGTAGGACGACACATTATCATCTGCTAAGATACTGTCCCTTTACAGCCAGAACGTACAGGAGCTGAGTCATAGAAAATTGTTTCATTAAAACCAGGGATATATTTGCTTAATGTTCTAAAGTTTTATCTGGATTTCCTTCCTGTCCTAAATAATTGCTGCACAGATTGAAATAATTTAGCCTGGTGTATTCGTGCTCGTTCTTTGGAATAGCTGCTCACCTAATCTGGCATCCTCAACCTTTCTCTGGAGTCCTGCATGATTGCTGCCGTCAGATAATGGTTAAGTTCTTTGTTGAGAGCTTCATTTCAAATTGGCTCCAATACACTTTCAGGAAACTGATTACTAAAATATTCAATGTATACCTCAGTGTCCTCTAGTTCTCAATTCTTCCATCAAGGGCAACACCTTCTTCCAATCTACTTAGTCGAGGCGACTTATGATTCTATACACCTCCATCAAATCTCTTCTTAATCTCCTCCAAGTTGAACATATCAGCTCATCTCAACATCCTCAAAATATGCTTGATTTATTCATGTGATTGATTTCTGTATGCTCTTTAATGCCTTCCCTCGTTCTTAAGGTATGGTGCTCAGAACTAGGTCGAGAATTCCAGTTGAAACCAAACAAATGCTCACTTCATCATAACTTGCTTGATTTTTGTACTCTATGCCCACACTTCTAAAGACCAAAATACTTAAAGAACCACCTTTTCTTTTGCTCTTCCACCTTTAAGTAATAAAAATTTGAAATTAAAAATCCACACATCCCCACCCAAACGACAGAAAGTATTCTAGTGTGGAGCTGGAGGAACACAGCAGGCGAGGCAGCATCAGAGGAGCAGGAAAGTTGACATTTCGGGTCGGGGCACTTCTTCAGAAATGAGGAGGGGGAAGGGAGCTCAGAAATAAATAGAGAGAGCATCTGCTGCTCCCAATGTGGCCTCCTGCACATCGGTGAGACCAAGCGGAGACTCGGAGACTATTTTGTAGAGCATCTGCGCTCTGTACGTGACAAATGACAACACCTTCCAGTTGTGCACCATTTTAACTGCCACTCTCACTCCCTGGGTAACCTTTCCATCCTGGGCCTCCTCCAGTGTCACAATGACGCCACCCCCAAACTGGAGGAGCAGCACCTCATATTCTGCCTCGGGAGCCTACAGCCCCATGGCCTAAACATGGATTTCACCAGTTTTAAAATCTCCCTACCCCCGGCCTCATCCCATGTCCAAGCCTCCCTTTCATCCCTGCCTCCTTGACCTGGCACAACCTGTCCATCTTCTCTTCTACTTATCTGCCCATCCCACCTCACTGACCAATTCCCACCACTCCCTATCTGCACTCACCTATCACCATCCCACCTGCCTTTCCTAGCCCCACCCCTACTCTCTATTTATTTCTGAGCTCCCTTACCCCTCCCCATTTCTGAAGAAGGGTCCCGACTCGAAGCATCAACTTTCCTGCTCCTCTGATGCTGCCTGGCTTGCTGCGTTCCTCCAGCCCCAGACTGTGCTATCTCTGACTCCAGCATCTGCAATTCTTGCTATCTCAATGTATTCCAGTGCAGTGCTTCAATTACTAATCCATACTGTAAAATCATTTGACTGTCTGCATAGCTGTCTATAGCTGAGTGCCTGAGTGCTGTATTAAACCTAACATCTACACAACCATCTCACACTTACTTTGTAACAACATGAAGAATGTACTGTTTTGTTTCATTTCGTTTGAATTCTCAGACACTTTGCAAGTTCCTTGTATACCTTATCTTCTATGTTCTGCACTATAAAAAGTTACATTGGTCTTACCAACAGGTAGCAAGAGGATTGTTGTGGTCACAGTTCTGAAATACTGTCAATCTGTTTTTTAAGTGAATAGTTAGAGATATGCCAAATGGATTTTAAAGGAGAAAAAGTTAAATTGTCAATTTTTGCAGAAAGAATTTAACAATCTGTTTGAAATGGTAGACATTGCACAGCTTTGAGATGCAGAGAGATTTGGGTGTCCTGGTGCATTATTTACAAAAGGCTGGTCTGCGTGTAATTAGAATAATTAACAAAATGGTATTGTTTATTGTGAAGGGAATTGAATTGAAAAATATTGGTTGATTGAGTTATTGTTGTCACATGTCTGAAATTCAGTGAAAAGTGTAATTTTGCATGCTATACAGGCAGATTATACTATTCAAAGTGAATCAGGATAGCACGGTGGAATGCAGAATACAGTGTTACAGAGAAGGTGCAGAGAGAGAGATCAGAATTAATATTTGAGAGGTCCATTCAAAAGCCTGATAATAGCAGGGAAGAAGATGTTCTTGAATCTGTTTGTACATGTATTCAAACTTTGTGTCTGACAGGAGTATATGGAAGAGATTGTAACTGGGATAGGAAGAGTCTTTGATTATGTTGGTTGGTTCCCCGCGTTGTGTGGATGTGTAGATGGGGTCAGTGGATGGAAGGCTAGTTGGCATGATGGACTGGGCTGTAATCACGACTCTGTAGTTTTTTGCAGTCTTGGGAAGCGCAGTTACCAAAGAACGCTGCATCCAGTTAGGATGTTTTCTATGGTGCATTTATAAAAAAGTGGCAAGAGTCCTTGTGGACATACCAAATTTCCTTAATCTCCGGAGAAAGTAGAGATGTCGTTATGCTTTCTTGACCATCGTGTTGATGTGGGTGGACCAGGACAGATTATTGGTGATCATCACTCCCAGGAACTTGACACTCTTGACCATCTCCAACTCAGCACCATTGATGCCGACAGATGCATGCCCTCCACTCTGATTCCTGAAGTCAATGATCACATCCTTCATTTTACTGACATTGACGGAGAGAATGTTGTCTTTACACCATGTAGCTCTTTCCTGTGTTCTGTCTTGTCATTGTTTGAGATCAGACCTACAACGGTGCTGTCGTCAGCAAACTTGTAAATGGAGTTAGTGCAGAATTTGACCACACAGTCCTGTGTGTATAAGGTGTATACTAGAGGGCTCAGTACACAGCCTTGTGGGGTATCACTGTTGAGGATCATGGTGGAGGAGATGTTGTCACCTATTCTTACTGATTTGTGGTCTATGGGTCATGAGTCAAGGATCCAGTTACAGAGGGGGAGCCAAGACCTTGGTCTCGGAGTTTAGAGATGAGTTTGTTTGGAATTATGGGTGAAGTTGAAACTGCAGCCAATAAATGCCTGATGTAGTAAATGATGAATGAGGTCTGAAGAGCCATATCTGACTTAAAACGTTGACTGTTTCCCTCATCACACATGCTGTGAGACCTGTCGAGATTTCCAGTGTGTTCCCTTTTTATTTTCCAACACCTGCAGTATTTTGCTTTTAAAAAATTAGCACATTTACGTTTGAGGTATCCAGGGAAGCATGAGACCAGAACTGGAATACTGTGTACAGTATTGGTCTCCTTGTTTAAGGAAGAATGTAGAAGTATTGGAAGCTTTTCAGAGAAGATTTACTAGATTAATTTCAATGTGATTATGCAATATAGTAAACATATATCACCAAGCCATTTAAAATTAGTACGGCACTCCCCCCCCAAAAAAAACATGTACATGAATACACTGTTTGAGATGAGTTGTTTCTTTTTAGTGTGTTGTTCTGAACGCTAACAGGATTAATCTCTCCCCTAACAAGTCCAAACTCTTCTGCACGTTCATTTGTTGTTTGAATGGTCACATTTTCTGTTTGTATAGTTGTTCCTTTAAATCAGATTGTCTTGTCATGTTCTCTATTTCAGTAACATCTATTTCAGATGTTACAACGTTTACTCTAGCCCCAGAGAGTTAAATATGTTTAAAGCCACAAACATAAAGGTCCAACTTTCTCCTGGGGTTTTTACACTAAGGTTTCCAAATTAGGGGGAATTTCAGCCAATGAGGGAGTGTCGAGCCCAGCCCCGCCCCCTCATTCACTCCCATTGGTTGGAAATCCATCCTCTCCCGCCCCGTACACCAGCCCCGCCCCCTCTTCCTATTGGCCCTGAGCCACAGCCAACATCCGCAGTGCGGGGCTGCAGCTGGACGGAGCAGTTCATGTGGAAATTTATCGCAGGTGAGATTGGCTTGGGAGAGTGATGGAGCGGTTAAGTGTATTGGGAGGTTTCAGACTCACTACAAGAAAACATGAAACCACAATTGTGAAGCTTCCCCCCTCCTCAAACTCTAGTTGAAGCTGATTGTGGCTGCTCGGTTCTTTCCAGTGTCAGGCCTGAGCTAACTGCCACCATTTTTAGACGAGACGACCGGTGCAGGGACGCATGCGCTATTAGGCCGTCCCAGAGGTGAGGAGCGACCTGTAATCATGCCCCTTCTGGATGAACCCAGAAGCCCCGCCCCTCGGTGGTGTGGATTCTGTAACGTGCTCTGATTTGCTGGAGGACCAGTCGCCCCAACGGTCTTCCAGACTCGCCCCCTTTCCCGATAGGTCCGGACTGGCCGTCAATTATAATCGTTGTTCGAGCATGCGAAGTCACTGTCTCTTGTGTGTTACCACTGCAGATGATGTCGGATGTGATGTTCTTGTTTGTGTGGATGAACTGGAGACCTTGCGGGGGAATGAGAGAGACAGATAGACAGTGAGAAAATGGGAGTGGAGGAATGTAATTTGAGACAAAAAACTGCAGATGCTAGAATACAAGTACGACAAACAGGAGGCTGGAAGAACACAGCAAGGCAGGCAACATTGGAGGAAATGAGCAGTCAACATTTCGGGCATTACCCTTCTTCAGGACTGGATGTGGGGTTAGGGGAGATGCAGAAAAAGAGAGGGAGGAGGTGTGGCGGCAGAATGGTGATGATAGGTGGACATTGGTAGTAGGTACGACTTGGTTGGTCGATGGGAGGGATGAATCCGGTTGGTGGCTGGAAGGGAAGTTGGGGTGGGAAGGTTATTTGAAATTGGAGAACTCAATGGGTTGAGTCCTCTGGGCTGTAGGGTGCCCAGGCAGAAGATAAGGTGTTGTTCTTCAAATTTATGTTGTGAGTTGCTGTGACACTGGAGGTGGCTGATGACGGACATGTCAGAGGGGGAGTTGGGCAGGGAGTTGAAATGGGCAGTGACTGGGAAGTTAGGTTGGCCATTATGGGCCAGGTGAAGATGCTCAGTGAAACAGTCACCTAGTCTACGTTTGATGTCACCGACGCAGAGAAGACCACATCGGGAACACCGAATGCAATAGACTATATTGAAGGACATGCAGGTGAAGCTCTGTCTCACTCAGAAGGACTGTTGAGGGTCCTGAATGGAGGTGGTGTGGGGGCAGGTTTGCGACTTTTACGGTCACTGGGGAAGGTACCGGGCGAGTGGTTGGTGGGGAGTGTGGCGCAAACTGAGGAGTGAAGGGAATGGTCCTTGCAGAAGGCAGAGGGGAGTGGGGAGTGGAAGTTGTTCCGCCAACTCCAATTAGACCCTACCACCTGGACGAGTTTGAGGATGATACATTGGATGCGGAGGTTGAGGGGTGGAAATTGAAGACAAGAGAGACCCTATCTTTATTACGTTTGGCGAGCAGGGTGGTTAAGAGCCATGGAGGGGGGAAATGGAGGAGGTGTGGTGGAGGATGTGTGGATGACAGGGGTGGGGAAACGAGCATTGTTTGAAAAAGGCAGACATCTAGGATGCTTGGGAATAGAACGTCTCCTCGTCAGAGTAGATGTGATGGAGACAGAGGAGTTGGAAAAACAGGATGGAGTTTTTGCAGAGTACGTGGTGGGAGGAATTGAAGGAAAAATTTTTGAGGGTGAGGACTAGTTTGGCAAGGCGGAGGTGGGTATTGGTGGGGGGGAACTGGATGGATCTGTTGGAGAGGAAAAAACTGAGGGCATACAGGCCATCCTTGTGGGGTATGGACGTGTATAGGCATTGAACGTCCATAGTAAAGATGAAGCGCTGGGGGCCAGGAATTGAGGAGATGGGTATTAATTCAAGGCAAGGGTGGAACGAATATCCCAATTAGAGGCATCCCTAACTCAGCCGCTAGAGCCTGCTCCACCAATCAATAAGATTCTGGCCAATCTGATTACTCCACATTCCTGCCTCGCCCCAAGACCCTTCCACCCCAGCTAACCTGAAATCTGTCTATCTCGGACTCAAAATATTCAAAGACACCAACTTTCAAGAAGTGTATTTCAAAGATTCTCAGCTCTCTGTGAGGGGAAAAAAAATTTTGCTCATCACCACCTTAAACAGTGTATGTTCCCAACACAGCCATGACCTCCATGGTCAGTCTCAGTTGTGTTTGTGATATCAAGTCAGCATATAATAACTGAGATTTTCATGGTCAGAATTACAGTTTAGTACTGTTTTATACTTGGGTTTATCTGTGCACGTTTAACTATACTGAGTCTTAACATGCTTACATTTTTATGAAGCAAAAGCTTTGTGACATGTTTTAGCTTTTCTGTGAAAACCTAAGCTCCTAAAGTGGTGATTATTAGGACAAATAAGAGAAGGCCAAAGTCTCACACTTATTGTTTTATACTTCTGTTTAAAAAGTACACTAAGAATTGTTTTTAATTGATAATTTGTTGATCTTGATTCTGGGAAAAGCAGGCAGATTAATTGTCAAATGACATCACACTGTAAAGCTCTGTCTGGTGTTTACATTGCCAAAAAATGCAGTTTGTAATGAAACAGTGACCCCCAGCTCTAGGTTTACCCATACAGGAAATGTCCTCTCGATACCTACCCTCTCAATACCTGTCAGGTTCTTTACATGTTTCAATCAAGTTGCCTGTTACTCTTCAGAACTTCATTTGATAGAAGCCCAGTGTGTCCAACATTTCCTCATAGAACAATCCACTTATTCCAGTTATTAGTTTTGTCAACCTTCTCTGAATAGCCTCCAGCACATTTGCATCCATCCATAACTAAGGAGTCCAATAATGGTGCACGGTATACAAGGTGTGGTCTTATCAGTGCCCTTTACAAATGAAGCATAACATCCTCCTTTTTGGATTCAACCTCCCTTGCAGTGAATGGCTACTAGCTTTTCTAATTACTTGCTGTACTTGAATACTAACCTTCTGCAGTTTGTGCAGTAAGAAGGCCAGCTCAAAGCTCTGTAACCTCATCATTCAATGAAATACTTCATTTTTATTGTTTCTGCTGAAATGGACAATTTCCTACATATTCCATTTTCCAGATTGCTCATTCACTTAACCTACCTATATCCCTTTGCAACTTCCTTGTGTCCTCTCAACTCATTTTCCTACTTATCTTCACTTTGTCAGCAAATGTTGAAACCAAAGCTTTGTTCATTTCATCCAAACCTCTGAAAAAAAATTGCAAAACATCAAGGACTCTACAGTGATACCTGTGGCACATCACTCATTACATCTTGCCAAGCAGAAAAGAACATTTTATGACTGGCTAGCTAATATGAAACAGACAGCATGGAAATATATTACGCCCTACTCCATGAGCTTTTCATAATAACCTTTTTTGTGACAGCTTATCAAATGCCTTCTGAAAATCTAAGTGCAGTACATCCAGGGGTTCTCCATTATCCACAGCACATGTTCCTTAAAAAACTCCAACAACTTTGTTAAATGTGATTTCCCTTTCACAAAATCATGTTGACTGGCTGATTACCTCCATCTTTTCAAAGAGCCCAATGAAAATGTCTTTGCTAAACTTGAGGAAGAGTGTATAGGACTTGCACTTAAAGCTTTTGGGGAACAAAAGAGAGAGGAAACAATATTTCAGCCAAATTAGAATTGTCTGTTCAGAATCTCTATCCCATACTGACAGTTAAAAGCTTGTAAACTCCTTTTACAGGATGTAGAAAAAGGATGTTTTAAAGGTGGGAAGCTCAAATCAAAATTAATGTCACAATTAAACAGTCACTTGATTCATGAGAAACAGAATATCAGCAGCAACGAATGAGAAAGAAGAAATGTATATCTGTTCTGGCTGTGGAAGAAAATTGAGAGCATCAATGTGACAGGAAAAGCACCAAGCCTCTCACCTGAATGAGTGTGTTCCAGTGAACTGACTGTGTGCAAAGAGCTTTAACCACTTACACGGACTGAGTGAATGTGTTCCAGTGCCCTTACTGTGGAAACAGGTTAAGCAATTACGGGCCTGAAAATATATTGCACCATTTACAGCAGTGAGAAACCATACACGTGTTCTGTGGGTGGACGAGGCTTTGACTGATCATCCAAACTGGAGAGATACAAGGACACCAGTACCATGGAGAAACCGTGGAAATGTGAAGATTGTGGGAAAGGATTTAGTTACTCATCCCGGCTGGAAATCCATCGACGCACTCACACTGGGGAGAGGCCATTCACCTGCACAGTGTGTGGGAAGGGATTTGCTCGGTCATCCAATCTTTGCTCACACCAGCGAGTTCACACTGAGGAGAAGCCATTCAGCTGCACAACCTGTGGACAGAGCTTCAGATCTTCAGACACGCTCACTGAACACGAGCGAATTCACACAGGGCAGAAACCATTCAGTTGCTTTGTGTGTGGGACGAGATTCTCTCAGTTACACGCCCTCGAGTCACACCACCATTTTCACACGAAGGAGAATCCATTCCGCTGCACTTCCTGCGGAAAGACATTCAAGCATTCGATCGACCTCAAAGAACACCAACGCACCCACACTAGTGAGAAGCCATTCACCTGCTCTGTGTGTGGGAGGAAATTCTCTTGGTCATCCCAGCTGCTGACACATCAGCAAGTTCACACTGTGGAGAGGCCATTCCCCTGCTGTGTGTGTGGGATGGAATTCACTCAGTCATCCCATCTGCAGAGACACCAACGAATCCATAAGTGACTGCAGGGCTTTGATTCTGCTGTAACTGCTGCTGTTAATCATGTCTGAGATTGAGAATTGATAATATTTGGTTTGTATCTGATATTAACACCCCCTGTAACTGTGGCTAGAATTTAATTTGATTTTCAGGGCTGGACTCTTTCTTTTCAAACATATATCACCTGTGATCTTTCCCCTTGAACTGGGAACTCAGTAACAATAAAATTATGAACTTTTACTTCAATCCTAAATTGATTTTTGGTGCAAAATCTGCAGCTCAGAATCTGGGAAGTTAATATCTCCTCGTAGAAAATCTCTTTTAATCTTTGCTGACAATTTTGTCTGATGAACATTCTTCACATGGACACCTCCATTATGGCATTAAGTTAAGTCAAGGGTCATGAATAATAATGAAATGTTTTACAGACAAATCAATAAAAGCTTCTACAGACAAATCAATAAAAGCTTCATCAATCAACATTGATATTGATGAAGTTTGGAAGTCGCTGGAATCAATCATTTTTGACACTACAGCAGCAACATTTGGTAAAGGCAGAACCACGTCAAAGACTGGTCTGAGTACTGCTTGGCAGACGTTATATCTGTCATTGAAGCAAACAAGAAGAGATGATTTAATGTACAACACCAATGCAACAGCTAGAATGCTGCATCATCTGTAAGTAGTCAAGACAGTTGTGCAAAGGAACAGATACTGGGCAAAGAATCACTGAATCAGGCATGTCAGGAAATCCAAACTGCCTGCGGTCATATTAATTTACAAGCTGTGTCTGATGGGATCGAGAGAGCTCTTGGTCCCATTATGCCGAAGGTTGCCCCCGAGAAATTCAGAGTTGAAGTATTCACTGGAGGAAGTAAACAGATATCCCGCTGGGTTTAACATGACTGGGCAATATTCCTGTGAGACGGCCATCCCCTCGTCTCCATTTGATGCTATCCTGCTGCTTCCTGTCATTGTTGTGTCAGGCGTGGAACCCTCATCACCTGACCTGGAAAAGGCCATCGATTGTGGAGTGAGCAGCAAGTTCCCCAGCAAGGATGGAATCACAGCCGAACTGCCCAAATGCAAAAAGTCCCCTCTACTGCTGCACCTTCATGACCACCTTCTCCTCTGTTAGGAGGCAAGATCTGTCCCATAGGACATGCATGACGACCACCTACAAAAACAAAAGAGACCGAGGAGTTTGCAGGAACTGTGGGAGCCTCCCACTCCTTACTCTCACGGGGAAGACCTTCGCCAGGGTCATGTTGAACAGACTCCATCCACTTACAGATTGAGTGTATCCAGAAGCACAGTTTCTGTGCTGGCGGTTCGACAGTGGACAGGGATCGTCTTCAGACATCAGCTATGAGAGTAGTTTATAATCAGCATTTCGTCTAAAATGCTACCAGTTTCTGTGCTGAGAAAAGTGAAACATTTTCGTGACAAAATGAAAGTGGATCTTTAAGGATGCATTACAATTTACTTGTACAATTGTAAAGGGACTAAAAATTTGATTTCCCCAAAGATAATTTCAGACTTGTAGTTGTTTCCGAGCTCTTAAGCTGTGGGACTCCCTACCCTGTAACTGTTTTTCTTTGTCTAAAATGGTTAAAGTACCTCCAACAGCTTATATTTTTAAAAACTTTTCTTTCTGTTCAGTTACATTACAGTCATTTGGAGAAGAAACAAAATAATATTTGACGAAGCTGAGAGAAGTACCAAAGACTTGGAAACAAAGTTTGAAATGGCATTTGATTTGTTGTTCTGAAAGAAAGTTGTGCAAAATTGACCAAACCTTGATCAATTGTGAATGTTTGCTGAGCCCTTTTACAAACAAGCAGAGGAGTTAATCCTTTCCACTGATGGCATAGTGACAATTTGAACAAAGTACCACATTTTAAGATTGACCTTCATCCCATTTGTTATCTTTAAAGACAAATTGCTTGAGAACAGGAGATATAGGAGTTATTGCTAAGCTGACTGTAAGTATTTCTGTCTCTGATCTGCAGACACCGCATTCTGAGAATATTGAATTGGACAGTAAAATTCGTCCAACTCTCCTTAATGAGAGAGAATGAAAACTAATGCAATTCTGCACTTGGAATAAAAGAAGGAATTCACACCAAATAGGAATTGGAATGACTCTCCCTGGGTCTAATTCAATGGATTATATCACTTACATTCTGGTGGAAGTCACAAAGTGAGGATGAGATTCATAAATCAATACCCTTCTCTTGGAGGTGTTTGCTTGCTTCAGAACATTGTAAGAAACTGAATGTGATCGTCTGGCCACTGCCTGACACATTGGAACTGAGCTGGGGGAGTTAAGCAAAGATTTTCAAACTGACACTTCCTTGATCTTCTGGTAAGGTTACCTGAAAGTCACGAGTGGCTTTTATCAGATTGCACTTGTCGCATGATATTGGGATATTGGGACAGCAGTATGAGTAAGAGATATGATTTTATACCCCTTGAAGATTAACATGGAAATGCGTGGTGAAGCTGCACTGAATAACATGTCCCAGACATGCTCAGCAACTTGACAACAAAACAGCATGAAATTGTTACAAATGTCCATGAGATGACATTGTAAATCATTTAGGCACTAGCAAACACTCCATTGAGCAGCTGACTTTAAGATCATGGGGATAGATTCCACCCACTAGTGTCTATCAGAGGGAGTGACATTGATGTAAAGACAGACAGAGAATCTGCATTGAGGAAACAGCTACAAGGTGGATGCAGGCAAATGCAGAGAGCTGGAGAATTTTTAAGTTCCCACAAGAATTTTAATTTGAACCATGGAGGTTGACGACGTGTCAACAATTTAGAATTGTGAGACTGAATCTGCAAATGGAAAGAGAGAATTAAAATTGACATTTTCCACATCACTAAAAATATTTTGATATTGGTCTTGGAGGCAGCAAGGTTTTGCACTGCTGAATCTGAATCTTCTAGCAACTTCAGTATGTTTATAGTACGTGTTCAAGAAATTAGGAAAGCAAGCTCGTAAGTTAGAAGTGGCTGGAATTGTGAGAAATTGATTTTGATGTTCCCTACTCAAGACTGGGAGATCTGAAAATTATCATTTTATGAAATAGGAATCTGAATGATTGCCAATGGGTATTTTTCAGGCTGAAGGAAGATCTGTAGTGGAGTCCACCAGGGGTTAGTACTGGGTCCATTGGTGTGCAGGTAGCAGTTTCAAAGTTGGCACATGTTACAAAACCTGGAAACATTGTAAACAATGAGAAGGAAAGTATAGAATGCCAACGGGATGCAGACAAGTTGGTGGGGTGGGCTGACATGACAGATCAAGTTCAATGGAGAAGTTTGAGGTAGTTCATTTTCATAGGAAAAACATGGGCGGACAGTACAAAGTAAAGGGCGTTATTCTAAAGAGGGGTGCAGGAGCAGGGGGACCTGGGTGATTATGTGCACAGTTCATTGAAGGTGGCAGAACAAATGAAGAGAGCAGTTAATAGAGTGTATTGTATTCTGGGCAGTATTAATAGCAAATAGAGTACAAGAGCATGGGGGTTATGCTGAACTCATATATGACACTTGTCAGACCTCACCTAGAATATAGTATGCAGTTCTGGGTACCATGCAATAAGAAAGATATGAACGAATTGGAGAGAATCCAGGATAGGTTTACAAGAATGGTTCCAGATTGAAGAGGTTTGAACTGTTCTTAGTGAGATAGAGGCTACGAGGAGATCTAATAGAAGTTTTTAAAATCATGAGGGAGCTGGATAGATTAGATAGAGAGAAACTATTCTTGCTCATAAACGGATTGAGAAATAAACAGTACAGATTTAAAGCAAATTACAAAAATAGGAAATAGGATGTGAGGAAAAAAAAACTGTTTCACACAACGAGTGGTTGCACTGACTTGAATTATGTTGAGGCAGGTTCAGATGAAGATGGCATTGGATCGTTATTTGAATAGAAACAATGTGCAAGGGTATTAGGAAAAGGGAGAGAGTGGCACTAATTCATAATATTTGGAGAGCTGATGCAGACACGCTGACCTGAATGATCTCCTTTTGCACTGTAACACTGCTGTAATTTTGTGATTTAGTAATCTTTGCGGCTTTTATGGGGTTAAAATGTAGAATTTTGGGTTCCATTTCAGGTAAATTAGATATTGTTTACTTCAAGTTTCTTTCATTATGTCTCTGTTCAAAAATAATGTTGCACTTTTGACCTAACTTAAAGGCTTTTAGAAAACCTTGAAGTTGCTATGGAGACAATTGCTGAGGATGGAGCTATGACTGTAAAATATAGAAGCAAAATTAGGCCTTTAGAATTTTGCAGCAACACATTTGATTGGCTATTCCTGGCTTGCAACATTTGACCTGGTGCACAGCTGGGACTTAAATATGGCACTGGCTGTGCGGATCTCAGGAGGTCCCAACAGAATTGACAGCACCACCACTGGTGACTACCAGATGGTGCAAGTGTAGCTGAACAGCACAGAAATTGTCAGGTAACTCACCAGAACTGATGGAGAGAACCCCTCCATAAAACTCCCTGAAGGTGACACTTCTGGTTTAAAAACTCTGTCCATTATTTCTTACAGCTGACCCATCAGATGATATATTTTTGAGAGAAAAGCAATTATCCTGGGACATTAGTATCAAAGCATGAATAGTTTCTTCATTAAATGAAGACACGTTGCCCTAGCTGTACAATTTCAGTTCAGTCTTGGTTTTTTTTAAATTATTCATTCATCAGATGTGGGTGTTGCTGGCTGGGCCAGCATTTATTGCTTCTTCCTAATTGTCTTGGAGATGGTGGTAGTGAGGTGCCTTCTTAAATCATTGCAGTTGTTTGGGTATAGGGACACCCGCCATGCTTTAGGAAGGGTGTTCCAGGATTTTGACCATTACGTTGAAGGAATGGTGATAGAGTTACAAATCAGAGTGTGGTGTGGCTTGGAGGGAAATTTAGAGCAGGTGATCTCCATGCGTCTTGTCCTTCTAATTAAAAACCGGTCTGTCTGTTGGGCAAGAATTCTGTTCCATTGATGGATAAGCATCACATCAAGAAGTCAATGGAAGATGGTTTTCTCGAAAAGCAATCAGGCCACCCGTGATATAATATGAAAGAAAATCATGGA